CCCAAACAAGTCCCTATGTTCCACCCAGAGTCTTTGGATCAAAGGGCAATTGGCCTTTGCACACCCTGCATCCTAAATGGCACCGAGAACCACACCCTTAAGCCGAAAGGAAAATGGTCGGATACAACTGGAAGACCTTTGTCCCCTGCTCTCTGGGTTTTCCGCCACACAGGTTCCGGCAGTGTATGGAGAAGCACATGCCGCAGGCTCCGTGAGTAGAACCGATCCGTTGGGGAGCTGGAGTTTTCGACTTGCCCGAGACTAGCCCAAAGATAGGCTAACTCTGAGGGCGCTCGCCCTTTTTTACCTTTTAAGGTCGTAAGTTAAGAGGGAACATGGGATTGGGTACAATAAGGTTCTCAATACATTGAATGAGGTTGCGCGGCATTGTGAAACCCAACTCAGTGACGATCGTAGCCCCTTGCACCCTCTGATGATGCAGGGCCCAGAATGGGCAATGCGCCTCGGAAGATAATTACCAAAAGACCCTCTCCGGATTCCTTGCCAAAGCCAAGTCTTGGTTATCCTCCATTGCCTTCTCAACTTAGGCCCGGATAGAGAAGATCAAGAGAATCTCGGGGTACCTAGGGAGACTGCTTGGCAGAACACCCCCAAGCACCAACGGAAACAGCTTGTTTGTGGAAACAAAACAATGGGTGAAACCAATGAGAATCAACCCAAGATCGAATGTTGCGTGTCAAACAAACTAACACCAACTTGGAATATCACAACCCACGTGTGTAGAACGTCCCAGCAACGCTCAACATGTGCATGTTTTACGAGTGCAGCAGAGGGGGTCTCGCAAAAAAAAGAGTCACCGAGTTGCAACATGTGCTTTTCGCAGAATGGTTCGAATCACCATAGTGGACTGGTAGGGTTATTGTTGTTCTTGCACTGTGATTATGCAATGTGCAGGATCGCTTGCTCTCGCGACCGACACAGAGACACATGGACAACTTTGTGCATATTGCATGGGTGACATCCAATGGGAAGACCAGAAGATCACAGCACGGCTCTTTCTTCTTTGTCTATCCCCCCTTCGGAGGTCCTTGGAAGACGATTTGCTCTTGCAAGGACCCAGTCAGCTTTCAGGTTAGTGGGAGGAAAAGTGTCTTCTTTTCCAGCAAAAGCCAAGGGCAAATGGGTCAAAATGTCGAGTTTGGCAGACCCTTCCTTTACCGCCAGGCTTCCTGTCAACTATGTGCCAGTGCTGATCTCTTTTCTCTGGCGTGTAGGCATCCAGGCACTAAGCATGTGCCTGTGCGCCGGCTCAAACTGTCCAGCCCCACTTAGGCGCACAGGGAACTTGCAAGCTGGCTTATTCTAATTCGATCCTTAAGAACAAACATCACTTTGCCAGACGGTAATGGCTTTACTTGTTGGGTGTCCTACTACTGATATTTTGAACAACCCAGACAAGAGCTTAGACGGTGTGCGGTCTGATTGAGCACTTGACGGTCTGAAAACACATTCTCGGCACTGGCGAGTGACTCTTTCAACTGTGCGATGCCTCCAATGATAGGCATGGCAACTGTTGAGAAGGTCGAAGCCAGTTGGTCAGCGCATCCACCTGGATTTGTGACATGCTTAGCACTTTGGTCTGAAGAATGGAGCTCTGGCTTGCAGGTTCCCAGTGTACCTGGGACGGCTGATAATTCTGAGCCGGGCAGGCTGGGTCTGGTGCGAGCTCAAGTTCAGGCGGGGACGCGACGTGACATACTCTTTGGTGCATTTTGCTTGGCTGTTAGGACTTTAACTTTTTGCCAACTAATGGGTTTACCACTAAAAGTTAAACTTTTAGCAGGGGAGCAGAAAGCAACCGAGTATTGTGGATGGACGAAATCCTGCACCACCTCAGAGAGCCTGGAAGGATGATTCCTCTGTAAATACCATAAATACCAACAAACAATAGTTTCCCATGGTTTCCAAGTGGTGCAGGATTTTGTCCATCCACAGTAGCTAGCACCGGTTTCAGTTTGGTTGCAACAATTCACCACTGAAACACCTCAGCTTGGCGTCCTTAAAGAAATCCCCTGAACAGTGCCACAGCAGTCATGGAGAATGCCCCATTTCGGTACTGTATCGCGAGTGTTTTTTGCCCACAATGATGGACAGCCCGAACTCAGTGACGGATAGTGCTGGATCGTATTTTTCTAATCAGGAACCCCGCGTATGTTTACCACGCCAAGGGAAGCCAACGGATGGAAAGCCCGGAAACCCCCTGAGATGCCCGAATTGGTGAAAATCGGTGCGGGTTCTCCTGAAGCCGACACGAAACCCCGGAAAAGCAAGTCGGCTCCCTTGAACCCCAAGAAAGGGTACCCTCAAAAAAGATCTAAAACAAGAGGTCCCTCAAAAAAAGGTACCCCAAAAAAGGGGCACCCTCAAAGGGTAGCCTCAAAAAAGAGACACCCAAATGGGCTTGTGTGTTTCTTAGCTGAAAGCTTAGGGCTCTCTGCCCAGATAGTTTGGGGAGTTCCGGGCTATGGTCCAATGGTTCCAGAAGGGTTTCGGGGGTTGCTGTTCTGACGCCCTCCTGCTCATGCACAGCTTCGTCCATCCGGCAATGGCTTCATGCACTACCATCTCGAGGCCGAACTAATCGCTACTTGACATAAAATGGATACGTTAAAAATCTTCAGACAGCCCCAACCAAGCGCGCATGAACAGTCATCTAGATGGTGAGGGAGGCTACGTATGATTTGCTACACACGCTAATGGGATTGTCTCAAACAGTGGACCCCTCCCAACAAAGACCAAACAACTTCCCCAGAATTAGCTCCCCTTTGGTTTTTTATTGCTTTTGTGGGGTCCCTTTGCTTTCCACTAACTAGGCAAAAAAGATCATTTTTTGTTGGGGTCCTAATTCCATCCTAGACAAGTGCATTTCCCTTTAACCGTCCTGTCTTACCACCCCCAAAAAGGGCACCAACCGCAAAAGTATCAGCATCCCATGGAAATCGGAGGTGCGCCGAATGGCAGAAGCTGACGTGTGAGTTCGTTGGAAAAGAGCCGCCGAGAGCGCTGGGCCTGAAACCTCACCCTATGGATGGACCAAATCCTCCTAGGCACCACCTAAGAAACCCGGGAATTTGGGTTCTGTAAATACCAACAAACAATGGTTTCAACCATGGTTTCATTTCGTGGTGCGAAATGGATTTCGCGTCCATCCACCTTATTTCATGGCCTAGCTCCAAGAACGGACGCCCAGTCAGGTTCCAGGATCGGCACCAGTTTTTTTGCTTGGGCTTGACAGGGCCGGACCGATTTGAGGATACAGTTGGGTGCAAGTACATGGCTTTTGTTTTCTTCATTCCCTTCCCATCCATTGCCCCCATGAAGTTGTCCCATCTATGTTCACCCAATTTTTTGAGGGACCGGCTTTGGGCAAACAGAGAGGGCTTCGCAACTCGCGCTATGCCGAGCCATGAAGGAATCCTGCCCAAGCAAATCAATCGGAGCCAGCCGTGCTCCGCACCTTTCGTGCTCATCAGGTAGCTAGCGACATGTCGACTTCATGTGACCTGTCTGTCGAGCATGTCAGCCCAGGCCAGCAGACAGCGGAAAAACAAAAAGAAACAAAATGGAAACGGCCACGAGTGCGGGGCAATGTTTTGCCGCAGGGTTTCCCTCGAAGCTCACCTACCAAAATACAGGCACCCATTTTTCCCATGGCCAGTCGGGACAGGTGAGTTGTGTGCCCCAAACTTGGCCACGTACGCAGCGCGGTGGTTGGACTCTGCCGGTCGCCATCGCCCCGAATGGCGCTGAGGGGTGAAGAAGATCTCTGCGGAACATGGCTCATGGTTCCCAGGTGTGGCGCCCTGTTTCCCCTTCGGTGGGTTCCCCGCCTAGCGGCGTCTAACGTCAAAGCCCATCGGGATGTGTGGGCAACTTTGGCCTTTTGATCCTGGGAAAATGAAGGGAGCCACGTGAAACCGACTCGAGCCTGCCTTCCTGTGGGGAATCGTTCCTGGGAAAAATCGTAGTCGACACAAATTGGGACCCGTATCACCCCAAATGAGAAATGGAGGTTTACGAACCTTTCCAGCCCTGGGTTTTCTCGCTACTTTCGCTGTTCAATCCGAAACCCCTTGATGACTCCGTGACTCATGGTTATTTTGAAGCAAGATGTTGTCGTACCAGGGGAGTAGATGCGCTGAAGAAGTGACAGGTGTGTGCGATTCATTTTAGTCTGTCCAGAAAGTATGCCCTACTATACCACCTACCTGCGGTATTATTGTGTGTGTGTGTTTGCAGGCACTTGCTATTTGCATGAGCGTACTGAGACAGTTGATTCGCTCATTGAATGCTTAGTTTGGCTTGGTTATGCAGGATGTGTCTCATGTGCTGTGTTGATTGAGATGTCACCCAAAACAGGCCGCTGACAGGAAATAGCACACCGCCTGTGAGGAACACGTGCATGTCCAGTCATCCCGAACCAATTGGGTTTGGTCAAATTTCCGGTAGTCTATGGTCCATTTGGGAGAGACATGGGGAACTCAATAAATGTTCGACAAGCACCAGGGAGACAAATAGTTTTGACCGTGGCTCATATGCGTGTTGGTTCAACACTGTATACATGTCCGTCTGCCAACTTGGTCATGCGGGGCGTATTTGCCGCACCAGTCTTTCTGCCGCTTCTGAGCAAGTGGCTCTAGCCATCTTGTCCACCCAAGTAGAAGTAATGTAAAGACTAAGTTTCTATACACGAATTGTAGCTCTATCATTATAGTTCACACACTGGGGGACGACCAGTCTCGCCTTCCGACACGATGCAGATGGGTTCTCTTGGCTCAGCGCGTGGCATGGAAGGGCTTCCCTGAAATCCAGGTCGCTCGGGGCATAGAAAACACGGGGTGCAAATCCCTTCAAGAAGCCGAGCGAGCGGTGTTGACCTTGTTTCTACCAGAGCAGACATGTGAAGTTTCAATAAACATCGCTCCAGGAGTAGTGCAACTGCCTTTTGTGGAATCCGTTGCTTTTTGTAAAAGCGCTACGCAGTTGCTTCTAAATCGACATTTTTCCCATCTCCCATGGAAGCCATAGATCTGACCTTGGTTCTGCTGGGTGCTGTGCTGCAAGTGGTTCTGGTGGTGCGGCTGGTTTGCCTGGTCCGGTGGCAGCACCTGGAGAAGGCGCGAAAGCTTTTGGCGAACGCGACCAATCGGCGCAGGGAGTTGGATCCGGAGGAGCGGCGAATCCAGGCGCTGGTGGAAGCAGGGCGCATGCGCGTGGCTAAAGTCAACGTAGGCGGGGCAAATTTGGTTCAAACGCCTGGAGTTTAGGAGGACACGCGCAACTCTCACACGTACAAACAACCATGGTCTCCTTTAAAGGGAAACCAAAAGGATGGTGTTTCAACTATAGGTCGAATAAAGCGAGGCGTTCGATAAAGGGATTGAACCGCCCAACCCTGGGAGGCATCTTGCTGTTTTTGAGCAGCGTGACACTTGCCGGAATCCAAGTCCAACACTTGAAATACCTGGCTGAACCTTTATCGAGGGAGGTTCAGTGGGCTGTGTTGGTGAACGTAGCTCTTTATTTGGCACTGTGGCTTGGCCCAGAGCTCCAGACAAGTCTCGCTTTCAGCCTTTGGTACCTCGTAGCATCGGCATGCACCTTCTTCATTCTCAGTCCTGCAGCAACTGCGAACTCAGTGCTCACAACTCGCTCCTTGGTAACTTTTGCCTTTTGGCGCCTGCCTACTTCAAGCTGGCCGCCGAGCTGGATCGTTGCATGCTGCGGCTTTGTACTGTGGGCGCAAGCCTGTGTTCGATTCCTGACCTGGTCGGAGCCCCATAGCAGCACAATGCACGAGAATCCGTTGGTGGTGGAGACATTCATGTTCGGGGTCTCCCTTGCCGTGAAGGTTGGCTTTGAATGCTTGCTGCGGAGCATGGCAGTCTTGCAAGTCCGCCACGACAAGGTGAGCCACAATCGAAGCCCAACTCGAAGGTTGTTTGTGTTGAAAATTGTGATGAGAAATGAAAAGCCTCTGGATTGGTCACATGGTTTTTCCAGTTGTTCACTGGTGGTGGAAACCCGCTAAATGGCACATCCGACAAAGGGTTTCTTGTTCGACCTGTGGACTTTCCAAGCCAACATTGAGCTCCCCAAAACCATCCAAAGATGTGTTCAATGCCCTCAAACCAATTCCTTGAGAGGTTTTAATCAATGGCATGCACAATGAATGGCATGTACGGAACCGCTAGGTATATACCCGAATTTCCCCTTAGTTGTTTGTGGGTAGCGGAAGTCCTGGCTAAAACTGTGGGTCCGAGACGCCTTGGTTGCGGTCCGTGTTTGAGGAGTCACCCCAGAGCCAGCTACGGTTAAGTATCACGAGTTCGGGTTGTATGCTTTAGGTTCGGATTGAAGTACGACCCAAGTTCCCTCGAAGTGTTTGGTTTCTTTGTTCGAGTCCAAGGGCTCGCTGTCTCATAAGCCGAGTTTCATGCAGATTCGAAGTTGCACGGGTTGACAGGGGCTACACACACATGCTTCTTTTGTGATGAGTTGATGGTACCCTACAACCGTATTCGATTCACAAGGCCCAGCATTATTGCATGCTTTATTCCCCAAACCGTTTACTGTAAGGGTTCTTGATTCTTTTAAGATAGACTGGTTCGTCTGGACGGATTCCTTTCACTCTGCCTCCCCTTGTCTCCCCTTGTCTCCCTTCATATGTGCTCCAGGCCGGGTTCGCCTGGACGGGTTGCTGCCGCCCGGTCTCCCTTGTCTCCCTTTGTATTTTTGTGTCGTTGTTTTTTTCGTTTTTTCTTGTCTCCCTTCAATATGTTCTGAGTTTGCCTGGACGGGTTGTTGCCGCCTTGTCCCCCCGTGTCTCCCTTCATATGTGTCGCTGTCGCCGTGTCTCCCTTTGTCTCCCTTGGTCTCCCCATAATATGAGCTCCAAACTAGGTTCGCCCAGTGGGCTTGCTGCCACCTTGTCTCCCTTTGTCTCCTCTCGTCTCCTTGCATATCTGCTCCACACTGTGGTGGTATGCCTGAGGCATCGTGTTCCCGACGGATTGCTGTCGCCTTCTTTCCCCTGTCTCCCCTTGTCTTCCTTCATATTATATGCTCTCCAAGCTGGGTTCACCTGGACGGCTTGCTGCCGCCTTGTCGCCCTTTGTCTCCCCTTGTCTTCCGTTGTCTTCAAGCTGGGTTTGTCTGGGCGCGCTCCCGCCCAGGCGAACCCAAGCACATATGAGAGCGGGAGGCAAACCCAGCCTCGAGCACATATGAAGGGAGACAAGGGGAGACAAGGCGGCAGCAACCCATCCAGGCGAACTATGAAGCCAAACAGGGAGAGAAAGGGGGACAAGTTTGTCTGTGCTCTGATTCCACTGCTCCAGGCTGGGTTCGGCTCCCCTGGTCTCCCTTATTGTGCTCCAGGCTGCGTTGGCCTGGACGGGTTCCCGCCGCATTCCCGAAATAGTTTGCTTAGAGCTCTTAATTCTTACTTAGAGCCGATACTTTCACGAGATGGTCTGGCTCTGTCTCCCGACTTATTTCCTCACACGCGTCGCGCTGAGATGTTCTGGCTCGGTCAGCTCTTCGTCCCCCCATTGTTTCCACCCACTCGTTTCCTCATGCGCTTGCTGGGCTGGATGCTCTCGCGAGATGGTCTGGCTTGGTCAGCTCTTTGTCTCCCCATGTGTTTCCATTTGTCTCCCCACTTGTATCATCACGCGCTTGCCATTTGTCTCCCCACTCATTTCCTCATGCGCTTGCTGGGCTGGATGCTCTCGCGAGATGGTCTGGCTTGGTCAGCTCTTCGTCTCCCCATGTGTTTCCATTTGTCTCCCCACTTGTATCATCACGCGCTTGCCATTTGTCTCCCCACTCATTTCCTCATGCGCTTGCTGGGCTGGCTGCTCTCGCGAGATGGTCTGGCTTGGTCAGCTCTTCGTCTCCCCATGTGTTTCCATTTGTCCACTTGTATCATCACGCGCTTGCCATTTGTCTCCCCACTCATTTCCTCATGCGCTTGCTGGGCTGGATGCTCTCGCGAGATGGTCTGGCTTGGTCAGCTCTTCGTCTCCCCATGTGTTTCCATTTGTCCACTTGTATCATCACGCGCTTGCCATTTGTCTCCCCACTCATTTCCTCATGCGCTTGCTGGGCTGGATGCTCTCGCGAGATGGTCTGGCTTGGTCAGCTCTTCGTCTCCCCATGTGTTTCCATTTGTCCACTTGTATCATCACGCGCTTGCCATTTGTCTCCCCACTCATTTCCTCATGCGCTTGCTGGGCTGGATGCTCTCGCGAGATGGTCTGGCTTGGTCAGCTCTTTGTCTCCCCATGTGTTTCCATTTGTCTCCCCACTTGTATCATCACACGCTTGCCATTTGTCTCCCCACTCATTTCCTCATGCGCTTGCTGGGCTGGATGCTCTCGCGAAATGGTCTGGCTTGGTCAGCTCCTTGTCTCCCCATGTGTTTCCATTTGTCTCCCCGCTTGTTTCCTCACGCGCTTGCCGGGCTAAAAGCTGTCACGAGATCTGGCTCAGTCAGGTCTTCCGTTTGTCTCCCCATTCATGTCCTCATGCGCTTGCTGGGCTGGATGCTCTCGCGAGATGGTCTGGCTTGGTCAGCTCTTTGTCTCCCCACGTGAATCCATTAGTCTTCCCACTTGTTTTCTCACGCGCTTGCCGGGGTAGAGGCTGTCACGCGATCTGGCTCAATGAGGTCTTCCATTTGTCTTCCCACTTGTTGCCTCACGCGCTCGCTGGCTGGTCAGCTCTTTGTCTGGCTTGTCTCCCCACTTGTTTTGTCAATCGCTTGTTGGGAAGGATGCTGTCACGACATGGTCTGGCTCAGTCAGCTCTTTGTGTCTCCACTATTCCCTCATACTTGCTGGGCTGGACGCTGTCATGAGATGGTCGGTGTCCTCTCATTTGTTTCCATTTGTCTGGGCTTGGATGCTGTCACAAGGTCTGGCTCGGTCAGCTCTTAAGATTTGTCTCCCCACTTGTCAAGATGGACTGGCTCGGGCAGCTCTTTGTCCCCACTTGTTTCCAATCGCGCTCGCTGGGATGGATGCTGTCGCGACATGGCTTGCGCTTTGTCTCCCCACTTGTCTCCCCACTTGTTTCCTCACGCGCTTGCTGCTGGCTGCTGTCACGAGATTGTCTGGCTCGGTCAGCTCGCTTGTTTATTGTCTCTGCACGTGTTTTCCCACACGCTTGCTGGGCGGAAGCTGTCACGAGATTTTCTGGCTTGGTCGGTCGCTTGTCCTCTCATTTGTTTCCATTTGTCGCCACACTTGCTTCGGCTTCCTGTCACAAGATGGTCTGGCTCGGTCAGCTCGCTTGTTTCCATTTGTCCCCGCACGTGTTTTCTAACGCGCTTGCTGGGCAGGATGCAGTCACAAGATGGTCTGGCTCGGTCGGTTGTTTGTCCTCTCATTTGCTGTCACAAGATGGTCTGGCTCGGTCAGCTCGCTTGTTTCCATTTGTCTCCGCACGTGTTTTCAACAGCGCTTGCTGGGCTGGAGGCTGTCACGAGATGGTCTGGCTCGGTCGGCTGTTTGTCCTCTCATTTGTTCCCATTTGTCGCCACACTTGCTTCCTCACGCGCTTGCTGGGCTGGATGCTGTCACAAGATGTCACGAGATGGTCTGGCTCGGTCGGTTGCTTGTCCTCTCATTTGTTTCCATTTGTCGCCAGCTTGCTTGTCTGGATGCTGTCACGAGATGGTCTCTTGCTGACTCACGAGATGTCTGGCTCGGTCAGCTCTTGTCTCCCCACTTCACTTGTTTCCTCACGCTCTTGGCGCTTTGTCCCGCTCAGCTCCGCACCGCTCCACGCGTGTCGACACCCGCCCTTGCGCTCTCTCGCTCCGGCTCTTTCCCCAGTTTGCGCGCTCCGCGCGGTCCCTTCCTCTCGCGCGCCCTCCGCGCGCTCCCTCTCCTTCCCGCGCATTCTGCGCGCTCCGATTCCCGTGCGTTTCGTGCGCTCATGTTTCCTCACGGTGTTGTCTCCCCTTGTCTCCCGTCCTATGTTGGCTGATCAGGTTTAACAGGGCATTTTGCACGAAAGCGCCCTGCTGCGCTGCGTTTCACGAGGTCTGGTTGAAAAACTGTTTGGGGCCTTTGGTGGTGTAATTGTTTTTTAAGCATGAGATACGTTGCGTTTCCGTACAAATTCCGTTAAACGCATGTTTTGGAGGAATCTCCGAGCACAGGACGTCGAGTTTAGGTGGGTTTCGTGGATGCAGGTGGGTTCGGAGCTGCAGGGGGCCACCTCGCTTCTGCGGCACATTTGCGATGCAGTGATTGAAGTGGATGCGGACTTGCGCTTGACGAAGCACTCCAAGGCATGGGAGACAGTGGGTTACAAGCGCTTCTCTCTCTTTCTCTCTCTCTCTCTTTCTTTTTGTTTGCTCTCTCTCTTTGTTCGTCTCTCTCTCTCTCTCTTTCTTCCTTCCTTGTCAAAATTCAAGTAGTGCTAAGTTCCCCTTTAGGATCAGCACATAACTCTTCATTGTACCTGTCAACTGTATTTTGCCCAAGAGCACTTTGGAACAGTAGGGCAATCGTTATGCACATGCCTGTCAAGGAGGATACAGTACCGCGGTAGTTACATGTTAATGCGCCCTCTCAGAACAAACGTAGCTCACAAGTTTTCCAAAGCGAAGTGTAGTTCCGCAAAGAATCTTGTGGCAGTGTACAAGTTACAACCATGAGCTGGTTGGAAGGATTCCACTTTACATGTATAGCCTCAGCTATACAAAGAAAGTTCACTCTATAGACACACTTGATTTTGTAGGGGCACTCATACTCCGGAAATGCCTTCATGTAGTACTACCCTTTAGTACAGCTCATTCCATTTCCGTAGGCTCGCCCTCTTCGTAGGATGCGCTCTTTTGCGTTTGTGCACTTAGATGGATTGGTTCCATCTCGTTGACTTATAGCCCTTCTCGACGCATCTCGCCTGGATTGGCTCAAGCATGCAAAAGGGCACTGTCGCTCATGTTCTTAGGCGCTGCCAATTCAAGTTGGTAGCGGCGCCTTACAGGCGCATAGGAGGGCCTTTGGAGGTGGGCCTGTAACCTCCCTAGCAGGTGCAACGTCGCTCCTGATGGCCGTAGTTCGTGGACAACGGCTTCGGCGACTTTGAACCTGGTGAAAAGGGCATGCCACGCCCACTCAGCGCAGCGAGTGCAGCCTCCGGATCCGGCTGAAGTTGGAGCAGGAGAAAAGCCTCAGCGAGGAAAAGATGAAGAAGAGAGGACCTCTCAAAGAGAGCTCTACACAGGCGGAGCCCGGGAAGGTGGTTTGCTGAGCAGGCAGCAGGTGAGCCGATGATGGACACTACTGACGGGACCTGGCGGAGCAGTTGCTGCTGAACTCCAACATCCAGGCCGGTCACAAGCCGATGCTAAGCACTTCGAACCGTAGCCCTTCCAGCCACTGTGACCATCGATTGAATGCCCGCTGACACATGCCAGGGTAATGACCGTCAGGAAAGGCAAGAGTTTTGGAGACGTCTACAACACGGATCCGCAGCACGGTGCGTGGCTGAGTGAACATGAAAGAGCACGCAACGATCTTGGCGGGTTCGAGGAGTACTACCAAAGGAGGAAACAAGCTGGGACGAAAGCGAAAGTTGCCTACATGGTGAATGATGAGGCACAGGCCAGGCGTCCAAGGAAGACGACCTCGTCGCCATTTTGGACACGGGGGGCAGTCAGGGTTGTCACGGACACAGACGGCTTGCGTTACATCCTCCGTCATAAGCAGACGAGCCACCGTTTGTCGATGACACGTCTACACGGTTTCGAGAAGTCGGTGGCTGAGTGGAGACTAAGAGCGAGAGAAGCCCTACACATCATGAACGGCGAATACACCAAGGGCGCGGACTACGCCAAAGTCAATGAGTTGGTGGCCTCGGACACCCCACTTCTGCTGAGCATGCCTGCTCGGTGACCGCCTCTCCTAGAAACTAAGAAATTCCCGAGACGGATCTTTCCGCCTCCAACCCAGTGAGCGCCTCTCCTGGGAATAAGAAATTCCCAAGACGGATCTTCCCGCCTCCAACCCAGTGACCGCCTCTCCTGGGAATAAGAAATTCCCGAGACGGATCTTTCCGCCTCCAACCCAGTGACCGCCTCTCCTGGGAATAAGAAATTCCCGAGACGGATCTTTCCACCTCCAACCCAGTGAGCGCTGGATGCCGCAAATCACAGAGTCTACAGCAGCAAGTTGGGAAGCTGGTGATCGTGACGGTGTACGTCTTCGACCGGAACACATGGGCGTGACATCCTGCGCACAAGAAGATGAAAATGAGGATCCGGAAGTGGACTGCTGGTGATAAAGAAAAGAAGGACTTCTACTACCAAATATGCACTCAGCTCTGCACGCTCCGCTTCAAAAGGCGAGGGGACCAAAGACAATGGGCGGCCGGCCAAGAAGCGAGCGCCACGAGCATCATGGGTCTGCGGAACTCGGTGATCGTTCAGGTCACTGGCTTGCCGGAGATAAAGCAAAATGCGGCCTTTTGCCAGAGGACCATACCCCCGAAGCATACCCCGAATCAGACCGCGAAGCATACCCCCACCAACATGATTTGAGACAGACCCTGTCTGTCTGTCTGCCTGTCTGTCTGTCTTTTTGCCTGTCTGTCTGTCTGTCTGTCTCATGTATGTACGTACGCATGTGTGAGGGTATGTAATGTAAGCTAATGTGTGTGTGTGTGTATATGTGCATGTGTGCATTGTAATGTAATGTAATGTAAATGTAAGGGTATCGCAAAACGTAGTATATGTATGTATTGTCTTCTCTTGTCTTGTCTTGTCTCGTGCTGCGTCGTATGTATGTCTGTACGTATACAAGTATGTATGTATGCATGTGTGTATGTAATGTCGGGTATGTACGTATGTTTGTCTATATGTATGTATGTAGCATTTGTGTATGTATGTATGTATGTATGTACGTACGCCATGTATGTCTGTTTGTCTGTCTGTGTGTCTGTATGTACGTGTGTATGAATGTGTGTTGTTCTTTATCTATGTAATTTAACGAATATGGTTTTCGTTTGTAGGGTTTTACTGTTTTGTGATCGGTTTTTATTCATGTACTTAATCTGTCTGTTTAACAGTTTTATATGTGCATCTGCTCTTTCATTCACGTATTCATTTATCTACTATATTCTTGTGTAAAATATTTACTATAGTTTTGGTGTGTTTTTCATGTTGTTCTGCTTATTCACTTAATTAGCCCCTTTTTTCCAGTTATCTTTTCAAAGGTTTTTGGTAGGTGTTTAAGGTTTTTGGTAGGTGTTCAACACACCCTGACTTTTGCAGTTATCATGCATTTCTTGCTTTTTGTTGGTTTATTGTTTGTTGTTTAACACGGCTCATGTTATGTGTTTGCGCGTGCCTTTTACCATGTCACCTGTGCTTTGAACATGTTTTCCTCTTGCGTGTAGGTATGCTGATTTTCTTCGCTTTCAGAATATCACACTGTCTTGCTTGCTTCCCACGCACAAAAGTAACCATGCAAAGAAGCATATTTGCACATTGTGTTGTAAAGGTCTGCTCCCAAGGTCCGCAGAGGGTTCCGCGAGCGAAGTGAGAAACGCAAAAGACATTGAATTGTTCAAGGTCAACCCCGCGAAAGTACGCGCAAGGTTCGCGAGCGAAGTGCAAAGCGCAAGCGCCGAACATGGTGCGAGACCGCTTGAAGCATGGTCCCAACCAGCTTCGAGTGCACGGTTGTCGCGCTTCGCCATTTTTTCGTTAGCCAACGCGCAACGCGTATGTATATGTGTTGTTATATATTTATATATGTATACATATTTACGTATACATTTTCACGACCCTGAAAAATCGCCACCCGAGGAGCTGGCCAATATGCTCCTGAGGCATCGCCCAGGTGGTTCCCTGGAGGGCGTGACTTGGCTGGGTTTGCTCACTTGTGCGACTACTGCAAGGAGATGAGGAAGTAGAATGGTGCTGCAGGCACTCAAAGCTTCATTAAGCCATGATGACAGGACGATCATAGGGCAAAAGTGTGTTTAATTATTCAGTCGTGAAGAGCCCATGCTGCAGTTTAGCCCAAAGCAAAAGAGGACCCACTGTTGTTTTTGGGAACATTGTCATGCTTGCTGGAAAACAAAGGTATGCCAAACTTGTTCCAAGACTTGTTCCAAGAGAAACGGCAAGGCCACTCTGGTTGACAACCGTCTTTTCTGAAGTACCCTTTCTCAGTTGCGCCCTAGATTCTGTGGGAGTTGGGTCAAACGCAGTTGACCCAAGTTGCTCTGGTTGTTGTTGATACGTTGGTGTTGCTGGTGTTCCTGCTGTTGTCTCATTGACCTCACGAAACACTACACCGTTGAGACTTTAGACCCGCATGCGGCAGTGTTCCGGTGATGTCCGGGCAGCCTTCAACCGTCGTGACAGCAAATTGTACTTTCTGCACGAAGCTTAGTGCTCCTCAACTTCATGTTCACTCCCGCCATTGCCTGCCAAATGATAGGCGCACCCGTTTGGCGCTGCGAGTGCTCAGTGCTGCACCCAAGCATCCCAAATGATAAGCGCACATGGGAACATAGTGCCTGTTGTTTTTTATGCTCAGGTGAGCTTCACAGACTTCATGACCCCGGCGGATGCACAGAAGTTCTCTAAACTGTTGGAGGCACAGCTGGCAGGAGCTTCGGGACTTTCTTGGTTGTGTTGCCTCACCGCGATCCACTCACAATGCTTTGGAAAAGGATCTTGCGCCTGCTTGTTTTTTCTTTCAGTGCGCTCCCCTGACACTTGTGACGAGGGCACCTTCCAACATGACAGTGAAATCGCCCTTCGCACGATGGTCGTGTCAACTGGTTCTGGTATGAAGTCGACAGAATCAGAGCGCCTTATTTTTGTTCGAAGCGTTCAACGTCTGCATGTTCCACGAAATATACGTTGTCATACGTTTTCATGGTTTCTGCCGGCCACCAGAAAGAATCCTACGCGTATTGATTTCTGCCACTCTGCGCAACTGCCTCAGGCGTGACATTTCCCATGGAATCTTTGGAGTTCTTTTGGTAAGCTTTTGTTCTTCGCCTTGACTGCTTTTTCTTGTAGCATCTGGGAGAATCTCGAGATAGGCCCCGCACAGTCCCTACAAGAGCTGAGTCAGAGATCCAAGGAAAGCTGAGAAGTGAAAGAGGACGCAAGAAGAAACTACAACAGTTTGGGGAACTGGATATTGAACTGGCTTTACACAAAGAACAAACAAACCACCTTCGATTTCTTTCCACACATATTTTGCCAGCGCAACTGCAACACAAGTTGAATGGCTTCACGCAGGTGGATGAACAGAATACAACACAACCCCGTCAAGTTTAAGCAACCAAGTGAACTTGGCCGACTCCTGCAGGAAAGGCGGAAGATTTCGAGTCCAACGTGTTCCACACGCGCTCCTCAGCTAGAGCCCTGCGTTTGCACACGTGCTGAGTCCTTTTAAGAATTAGCACAGACAGATGAAGTTTAATGGAATCACTTGGGCTCCATTTTTCCCAGCACTGCCCATTTGCTTTCACAAAGACGCCTAATTTGGGGACCAACACTTTCCCTCACAGTGAAAGAGGGAGGCTCGTTTTGGTTGGGTTAGGGGAGACCGGAAGCCAACCAACGTGGATCCAATTCTGTGTTGGAGCCGGCCTCCTTTCCGCAGACCCAAGTTCCCAAGTGTAGTAGATTTGTTTCTGGCCCCACGGCAAAAACAAGAGGCAGGCACACGTGCAAACCAAGTCCGTGTTTTCACTGTGTTTTGGCAAGTCACAATTATCAGAGCAAGTGAGTTGTGTGCATGTGAGCAGTAAGCACACCCACTTGAGTTGCCCTAAAAACAAATCTACCTGCTTCGTGACTCGCTACTGGGTCCAAACACGCCGACCAATGCCATGGGCCCTCGCCTTTGTTTGCCTGTGAGGCTTGGTGGACAGCTGCTCCAGCCAGTTCCGCGTGGAGACCTTTCAGGCAGATCGGAGATGCCGAAACCAATCGCCAATCAAAGGAGCTGCCGTTTTGCAATGTCAAAGCCGGAAACGACCCTGTTTGCCAGTTTGTTTCAGAAGCGTTGCATTGAGGAGCAAGCAGAGCTACAAATAACAGATCTCCGCCTCAAAGGCCCAAGTTCTGTCTAGGGAGATACTCCGCCCCATTTCAACCCAAAGAAACATCCTCGAATGGCACCCAGGGACTTCCAAAATTGAAGTTCCGCAGATTGCTCAGTTGCCAGCCGCCACTGTTCAGCTTTTCCGGCTTGCAGAGCCTCGCAATTCCATGCAACTTCTTTGCAAGCCCAACACAAGGGGCGCAGTGGTCAAAAGACTGGTTCTATGAATCAGAAATGGTCATTCACCGCGGACTTGTGTGCACGGGAAAAAAAAAAAAAAACCTATTTTCGGATCATTTTTCTGGCTTTCAGGGAGTGAACCTCCACAAGCGCCTTGATGCCGAAAACGCGTCACTCGAGCCAAAATCCCCAAGGTCAGGTACGAGCGCTGGGACGGGCAAGTCTGCAGCCTGATCGGCTTGAGGGATTTCACCGACCAGGGCTGTCTGGCGGCCAACGTCATCAACGACATGCGAAGCTTAGCCCAGGGACATTCGCTGTGAGGGCGTTTACATTGAAAGAACATCAAAACCGCACCCTCGAATGGTTGCCAGACTGAGCCAACCTTTTCCTCTTTTGGGTTGCCCTCATTTTCTCTCTTAAGCACTGTTCACTGGGGTCTAAGTTTGGTCCAGAAATGTCACGCCCAGGAGAGCATCAGCCTGAGCATCGCGACGGGCTGGCCAGGATGGTGTCTGACTCGGAGGCGGATTTTAGCGGATTTCGGATTTCCCAAGATGTCGGCAAAAGGAAAGGCTTGCCGTGGCATGCTGTGCGTAGATTAAAAACAAAGCATAGCCTCAGCCAGTTGGCAGCCGGTGTACCCCGCTTTGTTTACGGGGCTTCATCCATTTGAAAGTTGTTCTTCTGTTTGGGGGACCTCCCTTCAATATACCGAATATTGCGAAGAACTGAAAGGGTGCCTGAGTAGCCAACCAGAGATAAAGCCCTCACCTGCCTGGCAATTCGATTGACAACGAATGTTGTCTAAGTCCCTACTTCCAAAGACGGAAAAACGGAGTCTGCTCTGGAAGCCTTTTGACTTGGACGCTGATTTCTTGTGCTCGTGAAAAACAGGTTCGAGTCAAACATGGAAGGGGTTGTGTAAACGGGGTGTGTCTGTCAAGGTTCTCCCTTAGTGCCCAGCTCTGTTTTCTGTGTTTGGCAACGCAGATAGTGGAATCCGCCTTCGGCTTTCCATTCTGGAATGATTTCTCTAAGCGCTCCCTTTTAATTTCTTCAACCGGCAGGTATGTTCCAACTGGTGTTGTCCCAACCGCCGGCTCAAAGGAGTTGGCGACAAAACCAAAGGGTCGTTGGCTTTAGGGTTTTTCCTTCGACGTGTGGTTTTTGCAAAGTGAGAAAGATGGTACATGGCGTTTGGACCCCGCACACCGTTTCGGGAGGCCCGAAGGAAGCATCGGGGGGCGTCTGATTGACAAAGCGCAACAACTCTCGGCCGATCTACGGAAGTGAGGGACGGCAAAACCCCGAGGTCTCGTATCCATGGCGGCCTTCCTCCGGATCATCCGCTACGCCAGAGTTGGCCGCTACGATGGCGTATACGCCAGAGCCATTGCCACCAGGTCCGGGAGAAAAAACGAGCCAACCAGGCGCGTGCGTGTCTGCGTGTGTGCTTGTTGTTGTGTGCTCGTGTGCTGGTGTGCTGGTTTGCTTTGGTGTTTTTGTGCTTGTGTGTTTGTCTGTTTGTGTGCTTGTGTGCTTGTGTGCTTGTTTGCTTTTGTGCTTGTGTGCTTGTGTTCTTGTGTGCTTGTGTTGCTCGTGTTCTTGTGTGCTTGTGTGCTTGTGATCGTGTGTGTTTCTGTGCTTGTGTGCTTGTGTGCTTGTGTTGCTTGTGTTCTTGTGTGCTTGTGTGCTTTTGTGCTTTTGTGCTTGTGTGCTTATGGGTGCTTGTGTGCTTGTCTGCTTGCGTGTTTGCGTGTTTGTGTATTCGTTTGTGCTTGTGTTTCTGTGTCTGTTTCTGTTTGTGTTTGTGTCTTGTTTGTGTGTGTGGGTCAGTGTTTGTGTGTGTGTGTGTTGTTTTGCATTGTTTATTGTGTGTTTGTTGTTTGATTTTTTTCCGTGTAACTTTTGTGGGTCTGGTTGCACTGTCCGGAAAGTTGGTATCCACCCTAGATTGTGACCTAGGTTGTCAAGCGAGATTCAAGGAGGTCATCAAAGCAGGCTGTTGGGTCCAAGAGGTCGTTCTACATGTTTTGTGAAGAAAACTTCTACCCCGGTGTTTTAGAACCATTCGAGGGGATTCGCAGCTCTTGCTGGAGATCGACCTGGACACTTTCACCGTGAGATCGGCCTCGGTGTCTGTCAGCTTCCTCGCCGGCTGCGCGCTGGGAGACCTGATGAGCCTCCAGGGCCATAGGCTCTTTCGCCAGGCTTGGATGCGTCCGGACGTGGCTCGTCTTCGTTTGGTTTTCTGATAAGCAACCAAAACTGCCACTGCGGGAGTCCAGTAAGAAAGACCAATATTTTTTCCGTCGCAGAAGTCATGGGCTTTGTGAAAGGTGCCGCGAAGAACCCTCTAATTTCTGCATGGGCGTCTGAGCGCCGATCTAGTCAGTAGACTAGCTTGGTACTGGATAGTTGCGACTTCAAGCTGGAGCTGCGCGGCGTACGAAAAGTTGCGACTTTCCAGCCGGCGCATGTCATGCACTACCCCGGTGATGAAAAGTTGCGACTTTACAGCTGGAGTTGGGAAATCGCATTTCGCGCACTACGCTGGCACTTAAAAAGCTACGATTCTCTGACTTGAGAACTGAAAAGAGCACGGCGATGAATCCGCGAAAGATTCGCGAAAGTAACTTTTATATTCGACAACAACAACAACAACCACCACCACAACCACAACCACAACCACAACCACAACAACAACCACCACCAACCAACCACCAACCAACAACCAACAACCAACAACCAACAACCAACAACCAACAACCAACAACCCACCACCACCACCACCACCACCACCACCACCACCACCACCACCACCACCACAACAACAACAACAACAACAACAACAACAACAACAACAACAACAACAACAACAACAACAATGACGATGACGACGACGACGACGACGACGACGACGACGACGACAACGACAACAACAACAACAACAACAACAACAACAACAACAACAACAACAACAACAACAACGAGAAGAAGAAGACGAAGAAGAAGAAGAAGAAGAAGAATAATAATAACAACAACAACAACAACAACAACAACAACAACAACAACCACACCACCACCACCACCACCACCACCACCACCACCACCACCACCACCAACAACAACAACAACAACAACAACAACAACAACAACAACAACAACAACAACAACAACAACAACAACAACAACAACTACAACAAACAACAACAGCAACTACAACTACAACTACAACACAACTACAACTACAACTACAACTACAACTACATGTACAACAACAACAACAACAACAACAACAAGGGCGTCACTGAGAACTACTCATTTTTTCAGTCGATTTTGGTGTTAAAAACGGTGATCAGCGAAAAAACTTTGGTTTGGGATGGTTCGAGCTCAGCGCCTTTTTTCACGTCCAGCATGTGGGTGGGCCCCCCCCTCCCCAAACCAATAGTTCACCAAGAAGTTGCCAGTTCACACGGGCCTGTCTTGTTTTGGGGGTGCCGAGTTGCTTCGGCGGCTTAAAAGGGAAGCCAGAAGGAATCCGACTTTTACAAGCAAGACCCACCCGTATGGAGGTGAGAGCTGGGCCCTGGCTGTTAAAACCCATCGTTGGTTGTAAAAGATTACCGCAAGCGGCAGCACTTTGAGTCGCTCTGCGTGTTTATCTAGACACTTCAAAGGAATGTATCAAAATGGCACCTG